ATATCTTATTTCGAATCTTACTCTTTTCTCAAAATGGTCTTATCTTTCAAAAGCAGCAGTTAGCTTTCCTTTACCCACCCCAACTAATAGTTGAGTCAAGCTTTTCTCTTATTAATGTATTCCATGTTTATGTTCAATGTTATTAGTTTATTCAGGTAAGAGTAGTAAATTGAAATTTGGATTGAAGAATCAACTAATCGCTAGCAAAACAAACAACCATTTAATTATGGTTGTTTGTTTTGCCCACGATATAATGATTTTTTTACGAAATTTAAATCACAACTTCATTTTGCAGGTACGCTGAAACATTTTATCCCTTTTAAAGTAGAATTTCAATTAAACATATTTTCATATTTTTACATCATTTTGTCAAAATAAGTTAAAAATGTTATATTTAGCATTTTAAGAGTTTACGGTTATGAAACACGACATAAAACACCGGAGTCTTTTTCTGGTTTAGGGTAAAATCTATCAAACACGACTCACTTCTCGCAGTTATTTAGATCTAATATAAAAAATTATACATCATAGAAATTTCTTTAATTTACAAAATCAACTACTTAAAAGTTTTTTAAACATCCATGAAATAAATGTTTTTTGAACTACTTTTTTTTAAATTTCATATTTCAGAACAAATTTAATTATGACAATAATATAACATATGTTTTTTAGTGACTGTTAAACTGTACTTTTATAGTTAATACATATACATATACAGTCAAACCTCGATATCTCGAACTTGAAGGGAGGGGAGAAAAAATTCGAGATGCCGAAAATTCGAATTATCGAAAATTGCATGTTATCGATGGTAGAATAAAGAAAAATGCTNTACATATATATATACAGTCAAACCTCGATATCTCGAACTTGAAGGGAGGGGAGAAAAAATTCGAGATGACATTTCTAAACATTTTCTAAGTGGACTATATCTTTAATGCCTCTTCTGACATATTCGGCTGCCTCTCAATAAATCTGCTTACAGTGTCCACTGCAGAAAGTGCTTGTTTATTAGTAACATTGGGAGGTAAATCTTCGATTTCCTCATCCTCTTCTTCTGACAGTTCACAAGAAGCTTTAGTTTGAGCGATGATATCATTGTCATCCCTGTGACCACACACTGTTACNTCTATAACATTTTCTAAGTGGACTATATCTTTAATGCCTCTTCTGACATATTCGGCTGCCTCTCAATAAATCTGCTTACAGTGTCCACTGCAGAAAGTGCTTGTTTGTTATTAACATTTGGCGGTAAATCTTCGATTTCCTCATCCTCTTCCGATAGTTCACAAGAAGCTTTCGTTTGAGCGATGATATCATTGTCATCCCAGTGACCACACACTGCTACTGCATCATCTACGTTTACAAAGTCATGAAATTCCATGTCATCAAGTTTCATGAATCCAGTCAATCTGTCCCAATCATTTTCGGTGAAGTTTTCAACAGAATTAATGATATTGATTGTTTGACTACTTTCGTGATCTTTAATGCATCCAGCGTTCTTGAAGCCATTCATTATCGTAGAGGAAGACTCATCATTCCATGCCACTGAGGTCTTTATGACCATTTTTTTTAAAAAAGTGTATCATTATGTGAATTGGTTTTCCATTCTTAAAATTTTTTGGAATATTTTTTTTATTTTCAGGAAAAAAATCTACACTATTTATGAAAAAAAAAATTCAAGTTATCGAGAGATTAAGAAAAAAAAATTCGTGAAATCAAGTTTTTTTTAACATTGAGTGTATAGGAAATTTGAAGGGAATTCTGTTTTCTTCGAGATAACGAAAAATTCGTGAAATCGAGGTTCGAGTTAGCGAGGTTCNATCTCATCTTATCTTATCATTCTTATGCCTATCCAGTGATTGATATCTTTTAATGTTTACATTTTTGTTGTTTGCTATTATAAAGCTTACTGAGGCTTGCTTACCTTAAAATGGTTAAATTTTAAATCACATTTATTTATTCAACTCATTTCAATCATTTGGAATTTCAGTATAATGTCTGACAGGACAGATCGCGATGGAGAATATCGCAGACAGCGGAGATTGGATCCCACGTTTCGTCAAAATGAACAAGAGCGTCGAAGAATAAATAGACAAAATAATCGAGAGCTTACTAATGCCCGCCAAAGAGAAAATCGAAGTAGGGCAGCTAATCGTCTTCGAGAAATAGATGAAAATCAGTATTTGGGAGAATCGTACAGTCGTACTTATGCCCTGCCGCGCATTTATATCCTTATATACATGTATTAAAATTTGTTTGCGAAGCAAACAAAAAAGAATTGTGTAGCAATTCTCCGGGGTTGGCGAGCGGTAGCGAGCAGGGGGCGGAGCCCCCTAGTATATATATAAAATAGAAATGTCAGCTACTTTTTTTGCTGAAATTCTAGTATTTTTCGATTTTCCATGGAGTTAACAATAGAGTGCCTGGTTCGACTTTTTCTAGAAAAGAAATAATTTATAAAATAAGTTATACATCTATGACTTTTCAAGGATAATATATTACATACAACTAAGAAAATATATATCTTGGTTAAATCAGACATTTTTCTAGGTCGAACAGTTCAGCTCCAACCGGCATTCGAAGCTTAGCTGCTCGGTGTTACTCCACTTTACCATACATACATATATATGTATAATGTTTACCATTGAATTTTCAACAACTATAATTTTATTATTTTTATTTTAGTGCAATACAACATGACGTGATATATATATATATATATAAAACATTCATATCAAAACATGAAATGCATGCAAAAAAATGGTCTCGAGGAATATTCACCACGATGAGAATCTCGTGGGATGAAGTTAAAATTTTACAAATCATGCACTTTGTTACAGTTTTATCATTTAAAAACAAGGGTTTATAATTTTTTTCCCCTGTTAGTACACCTTTACAGAGTAAATGTGTGCGTAAAAATAAAATTGTATTTACCTTTATGGGTTGGAGTTCGTAATTACAACGAAAAATTATAAGAAAAGTAAGGAATTTGATTAAAGCATCTTTATCGACAGTTAAGAGGAATATAAATATGACATTATTTATTTGGGTCTAGTGGACAATTAATATGTAGTGAGTATTTTTCGGGCCAACATAAATATTGAGTAACTTCTGGGTTATTCGATATGTGGCTCATTTTCTGCAACAATCCTTTTGTGCCTTTTCTTGGACCTGCATTGCATGCTTCCTGGACAAATACATGCGTGGTGTATTTTCCCGAGCGATATATACACTATCTGGCCATTAATGACCGGACACCCCTCATTTCGGATACATGGGGCGCTAGTATCAAGTTAGTAGTCTCTATACCCTTCTGCGTTCAGGGTTCCACGCACTAACACCAAGGGTCCAAGGCCAAACCATGAGAAACAGGACCACATCATAATTCCTCCATCACCGAACTTCACAGTGGGGACAATGCACTCCGGTAGGTACCGCTCTCCGGGCATTCTCTAGGTCCACACCCGTCCATCAGAGTGCTACTACATGCAGCGTGACTCATCACTCAACATAACGCATTTCCATTGCTCTACTGTCCACTGGCGACGTGCTCTGCTCCACTGAAATCAGTGGCGGGCGTTTGATGGAGAGATGTTTGGCTTATGTGCTGCTGCTCGTCCATGGAATCCTTGTGCAATCAGCTCCCGACGAATGGTACGTGTACTGGCAACACCGCCAGATGCAGCCCGGAAGTTGGTAGCGACAGTGTCCAACGACATTTGTCGGTTTGCCTTCACTACACGTCGAAGAGATCGTCGATCCCTGTCGGAGATTATTTCGGGCTTGCCGGGTCAGGACTGAAGTTTTATCACTCCCTCTCGTTCCCATTTCAACACGACGTCACGAACTGTTGACCGTGGTATCTGAAACTTGTCGGAGATGGCACGTATGGAATGACCAAATCGGTGGGCGCCTATGATCATACCCCTTTCCGTCTCATTCAGCTCTCGCCGTCCCCTCATTTTCACTGTTAACGCTCGTGTGGCCGTCGCCTGCTTGTGAATGGTCTTCCCCCCACCACAGGTTCCGTATTTTTTCCGCCAGGACGAGTCCACCTGCCATTCAAGGGGTGTCCGGTCATTAATGGCTAGATAGTGTATGTGGCGATTTTTTTGGAGCCAATCTATATAGAGCCTGTTTTCTGGGTCAATATTTATGTAGCGTGTACTTTCAGGACCAATGTATATGTGTTTGTTTTCTAGGTTTAATGAATATGTGGCGTATTTTTGGACCAATCTTTGCGTGGTATGCTTTCTGGACTAATCTTTGTGTGGCATGCTTTCTGGACTAATCTTTGCGTGGCATGCTTTCTAGACCAATCTTTGCGTGGTATGCTTTCTGGACTAATCTTTGAGTGGCATGCTTTCTGGACCAATTTATTTATTTTTTTCATTATTTTCTGGACCATTTAATATATATGTCGCGAGTACTTTTTGGACTAACATAAATATTGTGTAATTGCGTGATTAATTGAAATATAGCTTATTTTCTACTTTAATCTTTTTGTACATCTTTTTGGACTTGTATATATATATATGCCATGTTTCCTGGACAAATACATGTTTTCTAGAGCAATTTGTATGTGGCGTATTATTTGAGCCAATCCATTTTGGCACTAATTTTGCAACTGCGTACACATCATAGCCAAGCGGACTAATCTGTCAGTCTCATGACTGGCGGAACTGGGGTTCGCATCCCAGTATTGACACCGCAATATTTGCTCCATCCCCTTCAACACACGAAGAATTTCTAGTGTCCGGCACTCTCCAATGCCCATTACCTTACGAAAAGCCGAGCTCTTATATTTAGTTAAATATTTTTTGTGTGCGTTTTTGCAAAATGCTAGTTGTAAATGGTTAAAAAACTGTATAGTTTTGTATTCATGGTTTTATAACCTTTCTAATTGTAAATGATTTCAAAACAATAAAAGTAAAAAATGTTCTTTACCGTAAACTTTACGGTTAATCGGATGGACAGACAGTTGCCAGTTATTTAACCATAATTTTAGAATGAAAATTCTAACAGCGTACGGGACATTTTCTGTACTGATATATTGATAGTTTCACTTTATTTTGCAAACAATTTATGGAGAGGGTTTATTTAAATGTTACAGTCGTACATTCTGGACATGACCTGACGTGTTTGCTTGTACATTAGGAATGTGAAGGTGGATGAATTAAAAGATGACAGTCATGCATTCAGGTTTTGTTCGAATGTCCTTTCTCGTAGGGAGTTCTTGGAGTCTTAAAACTGCTCTTGAAGAAGAAGCTTTGCATCTTCCTGTCGTATCGCTCAAAGGGTTGCCATCCGAATGAGACAGATATGTTCCAGAAGTTTGAGACATCCCTCTGGTGCGGCAGGTGTATCTTTGGTTTGGAGTGCGGCGTAAGACGGAGCGCATATAAGCCTTCCGCAATGCTGTCTGAACCTGTGGAATAAGAATATTTAGGTAAAGAATCTTAGGTATTTAAGAATATTTAGGTAAGTATTTAAGTCGTTAAATGCAACTTTCTTTAGACATCTAAGAATTTTGATAGATTGAGAAATATTTGTGGAACTAGTTAAAAACTGAATAATGTCGCGAAGTCGTCATCTGCAATGTAGATCACGCGTTTACTGTTTATGGTAGGGTCTTCTGCCCAAGAAACTAACTAAAAAGCTAAAATGCATTCGAAGCAATCTACACCTAAATCTGTCTGGGTATAACTCGCGATTAGAAACCTGATTAGAGAGCTTCATGTTTCCCACAAAACTATATATCTTAATAAAAACAAGTTGATATCAAAATAGGGAAGAGTAACAACCAACATTCAAAACTGTTTGTTGTTTCTTATGACCCTTGGACAAGCCAAGAATGCCAGCCATTGGCCTTTGCCAATTAAGTCTGTAATGTGTGCCCTTCGTTTCCAAGAGAGCACCGTAAGGGTAAAAGTACGTCTTAGCTCAGAACTTCCCGGATGGATGGCAGCATCACTCTTTCGTGAGGCCACTTCAAAAATTTTGACGTAGATCTGATTTGGAAGGGAATTTTCGGCAGATCCCTGAACAAATGGTAATTCTCAGGAATCGTCCACAGGACTTTCAATTTTACAGATTTAACAAGTAAGTAAATTGCGTGTACTCTGTAGGTCTTAGAGTGAAGTTGAGAATCAAACACCGGCATTTATGGACCGGAGTCCGACATTCTAGCTACTGGGCTACTACGGCCATTACATTCAAACCTCTGACATGTAGGTTATATATTTAGACATATGTAGGCTACTCTACATTTAATCTACACGTGTTAATTTGGATAAAACTTTCACGTAAACGTTTGGATAAAATGCTGAAAAGAGGTTACTTTTTATTGGCATAAAAATTTTTGACCGACAAAAGGATCTAAAAGGATATTCGAGAGCATTTAAATCACTGGCAAAAAGTTTTTTGAGTTTGACTAGAGAGTTTAATTTACAGTCATAAAATCAGATTATGCCAAAAACAAATTTTCGTGTAATACTTTTACTTAATTTTGATGTAATATTACCTAGTAATTAGCTTTGACTGTAAAAAAGAGTTTCTCAAAATTAAGCAAGCTTCGGACAAAATAGCTTCGAAACAAATTTAGTCGAATTTGAAAGCCCCCATGTATTTATTATAAAGTTTAGTGACATGCTCGATATTGAAATAGCATCTACTGTTTTATTTTGTGTCATCAATTTTGTGCATCTTACTAAAACCCATGTATTAATTGCTGAGCACAGTGACAAGTACAAAATTGAATTGATCCAGAAGACAAGGAAAGTCTTGGATCAGTACCCCCAGAGGTATTGATTTGTTATGGGAACATGGAGGACTTTTGCGACACGACAGATTTACCGTGCGTTAGTCACCATTTACTACACGGGAAGTCTTCGGCTTACGGGGATCGAACCAACGAGCTCTTGGACATGGGCCCAGTGCCCTACCAACCAGGCTATCCCTGCCCAGCCGACCCGCGAAGCGGGTTTGCGGCTTTTCGCGGCCCCCGCGTAACCCAACCTACCCTTTGGAAAAAAAAGAACAAAGGAAAAAAAATGCATTGAGGAAAAAAAAAGTCCTGGTGAAAAAACACCTCATTATCTATTACATAAATAAAACGCCAGATTCTATTCAAGCCATTATGAATTTAATGTAATTAAATAATTCTTCGAATATAATTAGATATTTTTTTAAGCAGTCAATTAATATTCTAGTTTTAATTTGAAATAGACTGAAAGGAACTTTTAATACATTATATATTTTTAATGCCGTTATATAATATATAATAGCTTTATTATAAATGAAATATCAATTAAATAAATTAACTGTCTCTCAGTGACTTTTGATAAGAGTAAAATTGATANATGAATATTATTAACATTTTGTTGGAAAAGTTTTTTGAATTAAGTGAATAGTATTTTTTTTATACATGATATTTTATAGAGGTATCATGATTTTTTCCTAAAAATGTAGGTTTCTTACTGTTTTTTTAATGTTATTTGTTTCTATAATAAAAAATAAAAAAAGTACTTCCAACAATTTTTTCAATATTACCTAATATGTAATAGTTTAAAAGAATTTTGTCATTTTGACAAAATTTCAGACGCGAGGAGTAATATTAAAAAAACATAAAAAATTGAAAAATTTAAATTTTTTAATTTCTTAAATTTTGAAATTTTTTTTTGAAATTTTGTATAAAAGTTGTTTTTAGCAATATAAATGTATCCTGAAAATTTCAAGCAAATCCCTTTATAATTTCAAAAAAAAAAATTTGAAAGCCCTTTGTCTCCTTAATACATTATATATTTTTAATGCCATTATATAATATATAATAGCTTTATTATAAATGAAATATCAATTAAATAAATTAACTGTCTCTCAGTGACTTTTGATAAGAGTAAAATTGATAGAGTGTTTCAATTTAATAAAACTTTAAAAAAAAATAACGAGTTAAGAACAATTATTTGTAAATTGTAATTATGTCACAATACAATAGGTGTAATTATTGAAATTTAGGGCAATATTAGAATTGCTTAAGAGTTCTAATTTTATTCCATAGCATGAACCAGGGGAAAATTCTTTTCAGTACACTTTCATTTAATCCTTATGTTTTAATTATATTTTCTAAAAAATATTCAACTTCATTCGAATAAATATTTAATTGCATTCGGCTTTACGACACGAATTTAATCGGTTGTTAAATTCATTGGATTACTAAAGAGGTGCTACTTATCTGGTGCTTTTTTTTCCTGTGCTGTTTTTTTCCGTTTAATTTTGCAACGGCTGCTTTGAATCAACATTTATAATCTTTTTTTATATTATAATTCAAATTAGGTTTGTAATCCAATTTTCTTCTCTTAATTTTCATTCATTTCGTTAGCTTTAATTTTTCTTTCTTATATTAAATTAAATCTAAGAAACAATAACAATTTGAAACATTTAAGAAACAATAATTCGAAAATATTAGCATTTCCCCCCCAAAAAAAAATATTAAATTTATAATGTTTGCAAATTACTCTTTCATTGAGATATGCATACTTACATTCAGAATGATAAGGTATGTATGAAAATGATAAGGTAGGTAGGTACTATATTTACGTCACACTAAAGCTGCACGATAGGCTATATTATTTTATTTTATGACTGCGTTGGATAACTGACCCAATTTTGAGTTTACAGCTGCCAGTGCTCAACACCGTTGCCTTATAATTTTGAACCCAATACAGAAGACAAAGGAACTCCAGGATCAAGTATCGGAAGAAATTTTGTCCTCGGGGAGAACTTTTTGACGGAACTAATCCTCATTTGCGTTACCTAGAGAGGAAAACCATGAAAAACCACAGCCTAGCGGACAAGGGACTTAGCCTACTATACTTAACCTAGCGGCTTAGGGACTCTATCCCATGATCCGTCTACCACTGAGGATATTTTATGTCAGCACTGAGGTCGGAACGAGTTGGGTGCGGAATTCGACTCAACCAGCCATCGCGGGGATATGAACCCACTTACTTCATTGGGAGGCGAGCGCTCTATTCCCTGAGCCACCACGGCACACGTTGGGCTATTGGCGACTGCCTAGGAAACATCCCTTAGGATGATCGGAAGATGCCATTACAATTTAGAGGGGACGGCACCTCCGCTTGGGTAACCTGATGACATGCGCGTGAAGTCGAGTACTTTATGGTAGAACAGTTTGACCAGTTCTGATAAAGTGCACCTTCGGTCCTTATGCAAGTTGATCAAAGTGGTCACCCACCCGCTTACTAACCGCAGCTCAACTTCGGCGTCCTACTGGGAACAACGTTTTCGCAATCAATCCACTGTGGGACATATGAAGGATGTATAATAGAAATTTTTAATTCCTAATTCTGTTATAATTCAAATTTTTTTTATCTAAATTTAGAGCAAAAATAGTGCATTTTAAAAATTATTTGCATTTCTGTGTACTTACATCATTGTTCATGAAACAATAAAGAACAGATACAAACAGACCCTATAAAAATAGAAAAAAAAATTAAAATCTATCTTATGCAAATAAGTAAAGATAATTATTTGCTATGTATTGGGTAAAAACTATGTTTATTGGGTAAAAAAAGGAAAACAAATTTACACAGCCTTACCTTCATAATCAATTTCAATAAAATTACAAACACATCAAGTTTGGCAAAAATCAGGATTTTTCAAAAATGAATAAATAAATAAAAAATTAAATAAAACGAAATAAAATGAGAATAATCGAATTTATCTTGAATGAAATTGAATTTTTTTATTTAAATCACAATTTTTTTTTCTACCTTTACCGACTAAAACATCCAATAAAGTGTATTAATAATTATCATTTTTTTAAAGAAACAATATAGTTGCAATTTCTTACTAAAATAGTTGATACTATTTAAATATTAAAAACTAATCACTGAATAGATAAAATCAAAATTATGTTTCTTAAGCTCAGCTTGCTAATGAATGTTAAAAATTGTTAGATGATTTGTCAGTTAAATATCTAATGAACAGTAAATTAGTTTAGTTCAGAAAATATAACTAAAGAAAGTTAATCTGGGTAGAAAAAGTCTTGATATACACAGACTATATATCAAACAAGTTTTAAAAACACTGCATTTAAATAAACATAAAAAAATAAACAAGTACAACTGAAATATGTTTTATGCATACATTGCAATTTTATATACATATCCTTTTCTTAGTAAGAAATCTTCATAATCAATGAAATTAGAATTTAAAAAAAACACCCCTAAATAATGTCCTTTTTAATTATAGTGTATAAGAAATATTTGTTTCCTAAATTAATATTTTTAGAAAAAAATCAGTTTATATAAATATTTAAAAAAAAATTACTTTTATTTAAATTAGTGTTTTTTTTAAATAAAATCATGAAAGGGCATGCAAAAAAATGACTTAATTTACATTCATATTTTTTTCATTACTTCTTAGTCAGAAATTAATATTGAAATCAGACAGTTACGAAAATCACCCTTTAAAAAATGTATTTAACAAGGAATTATTTATATTTATAATAATGTTTTTTTAAAAAATTAACTTTATTTAAATTAACGGGATTTAAAGTTGATTTAAATCAATGATTTAAAAAAAAAGTCAAGTGATTTAAATTGGGGCATTAATCAATGATTTTTTAAGAAAAATCAGGTGATTTAAATTGGGGCTTTAATCTATGAGTTTTGAAAAAAAAAATTAGGTGATTTAAATTAGGGTTTTAATCAGAGTTATCATGATTTAAATCAAGTGATTTAAATCATGATAACTATGATGCGAATTATAAATTTTGGAAGTGCTTACCTGTGTTGATTTGACGAAAGCATTAAAAATCATGTAAGCATCTTCTAGTTTTCCGTTGTCTTTCGGATTAACACAAAATATCAAATGTGGTATACCGAGTAGAGGAAAAAGTAGTGCAGTGGCTTTGATTGCTTTCCTGTGTCAAGCAGAAATCAAATTAAAATTGAGTTAATTCAAAATTCATTCAGATATGAAATGATAAAAAAAAACAAATCAAACAACTAAATTAGTAATTTTGGTGCTGCGTTTCTCAGAATTTCTGGCCAGAGAATAGTAAATTTTTAATTTTGATATTTTTTTCAGGTTTCACATACCTGGAATTACCCTGGATTGACGTCCAAATGAGGTGAGCACGCAATCAAACCCAAAATAACACCCATTTTGCCAATTAGTAGAAAAAAATAAAACGACGTATTTAGTCAATTTTTTGTCGAAATGTACAAGTTTAAAAATATTACATGTAATAAGAGGTAGCATAAAAGTTGCGACATACTTCTAGGAGAGTTTGGGTTCATCATCTGGATTAAAACTTCATAGGAACCTTTGCTAGGAAATGTTCTCCTACGCCACTAGGGGCTCTTCCCCTATTATGAACTATTTCTTCATGTACTTCTGAACAGGTCATACTAAAGAAGCAGTAGAGGCTACCCGTCACTTGAACTCTTTTTCTTTGGTAGCTATTTGCCAAAATTTCGATAAAAAATTTTTTTTCTTCTCTTAAATATTAATTTGAGATCTATAATGTGGGAATTTTTTTTCTTCATTTTATACAGGAGCTCTAAAAATATACATTGAGGATTTCGGTTTCAGAATAAGCCGTGTATTCTAAATTGTTTCCGCAGTGGACTTATCGTTAAGACACGGTTCCCAACAGATCACCGAAGTCAAGCATCACTGGCTGTTGTCAGTGTGCGGGTGAGTGACCACTTGGATCAGTCTGCGTAGGGACCGAGGGTGTGCTGATCGATCCTCGTTAATCTGTCCGGTTACCGAAGTCGTCCGGTTACCGAAGCTGGGGTTCTTTTCCCTCTCCAGAAAATCAAAATTGTGATGATATGTCTTCCGATCATCCTCAGGGATGTTCTCCACACCATCGCCAATAGCCCATTTTGCAGCTCTAGTGCGACGTAAATGAACTACAACTATTTTAAATTGTATGTCTGTCGGCTGCAAAAAAAAGTTATTAATGAATAATTACAGAGATATGAGGATAGAGTTTAGTTGTTACCTGCGACCACATGAGTTGACTGCCGACTGAGTGTGAGGCCAGGGACAGTATTTCTGCTGGGGTAGGCCATCATAAAGCGTGCATCTCACTTGGTTAGTATCGGCAGTCAGATGAGTATTACCTTTTGTGACTAAAACTCTTATTATATCTATCAGAAACACGGTATTTACCTGTAACAAAATGTAATGATGCAAGAATTAAGTAAGCAATATTTCAGCGATATATATTTAGTGAAATACCATTGAATTGAAACAATGATTAATTACTGCTGCGTTTCATTTACGCGCACTCAAATAGTTAGTAATATGGTTGTTGTCAATCAGTGGGTTGTAATTAATTAGTGCTGAGTTTTGACGTCACTGGCGATATACACTCGAAATTCGAAATTTCTAGAAAGTTGGAAAGTTGGTAGTTAATTTTCAGAAGAAGCTGGTAGTTATTTTTTACTGTCAGCTCCCTTTTATGAAGAAAAAAAAAGAATCCTAGCTTGTTATTGTAACGAACTTTAATAAAAATTTGTAGATTTGGCCTCTAGTTTGAACGGTTGTTATAGAATGTTTATGAGCTCGTTTGCGGGCTATTCACACATTTTTCCGTAATGGTCACAGCATCAAGCTAGGGGCACAAATGTACCAGATTCTAACCCAGCTTGCAGCATGAAACATTTTTATCGCACTGTGTCTGCCTGGGTGAGCACGCACCTTAACTACTCATTGATAGTTAAATGCACTACACTATTTCCCAGGGTCTTGGTAGCCCATTAGTTAGAGAATTGGCGTCCAGTCCGGAGGGGCTGAGGTTCAATCCTCGACTCCTATAAGAGGCACAGAGTACATCCGATATACGTGATCGTTAAATTTGAGGAATTGAGAGTCCTGTGGTTTGTTGCGCAGCAGTAAAATGGGTTTAGAGACCTGGCGAACTTTTCCTTCCTCTTCAGAAGTCTAAATTGTAGAAGTGGCCTCACGGAAGTGGGATACTGACATCTATCCAATGGGTTCTGAGCTAAGACATACGTTCAGCTTTGTGGTGCTCTTTCAAACGTAACGGCGCATCTTCCTGACTTGGTTTGCAAAGGCCAATGTCTCACGAGCTTGGCTTGTCCAAGGGTCATTAGAAACAACACCTAAGAAATTATGGTGCATTTGTTTTCATTATAAGAAATAAATTTTTTCTAGATTTCTCTTAAAGAATCAAGGGAGGGAACAGTTGTTCGAAAAAGTGATAAAGCTGGAGTTTTGGGAAACCTACGCTTTATCTCTCCCTGCCGTTTTTCGCCAAAACGGGATTCAAGCTGTAATCATTGAATCAGCAATCCAGATATTTAGTAGATCAGTTGATCATTAGTGGTTCGCAAAAACGTTGTTCCTTTCTTTGCCACTAAGTCGATATATTGCAATACAATCCAGTTTGTGACAGGGTATTGAGAGGATTTTTTACAGTCCTAAATTCATACTGAAGTGTAAAATGCATTGTTGGAGATACACTTGCTATTGGACAAGATTTGACAAATTGTTACTTTTTACTCTTCCCCAAAATGGATCAGTACCCCTATAATTTTGACTGAAGTTTCCTTTGGGATTACATGGATATTGTTGACATGATGTTTGTCAAAATAAATCTTACCAATAATGCAGCCAACATGGGTCCCGTGATGACCCAAATAAAAGGGAGATTTCCATATCCAATAAAGCAGGTTGTGTTGTGATATAAATGCATCATAAAGCACCAAATACCAATGCAGAGAGCAGGAATGCCTAAAAAATAGGATTTTTAAAAAAAAATGTAACATTTCTTTTAATCCACATATTGTTTTTACATTTTACTCTTCTTGCAATGTGCTAAAATACGATATAAAAACTAGTTTCTTAATGCAAAGATTTAAGAAACACAGTTATTAATTATATATTGTTTTTTTTTTAAATTCGATTGCTTCATACAATGTTTATAAATATAAGTCAAAAATTGCTTCTAAATGAAAAATTCAATATAAACAATTATCGTTATGCATTGTCTTTTTCTTGTGTTGAAATGTAAGATCATGGTCTGAATTTAAAATACGGGGGCGGCAGGCACAAAACCATCATAGGCCGCCCTGTTCGCCACTTTAATGTTAAATAAAATTAATGACACGAGTTATTGAATTATTTATTACATAAGTAATTTATAACAGAGATGGGCATTTGTCATTCAGAATAATGAATAAAGAATGATGAATAATTATTCAAAATCTGAATAATGAATGATGAATAAAGATTTATTCATTAGTCAGAAATATTTTGAATAAAGAATAAATCATTCATTATTCGTTATTCAGTATCCTTTATTCATTAGTCAAGAATAACTCAATAATTTCACTGGTCAACAAAAATGGGCACGGAATACTTTAATTGACTATGATTATGACAACTACAAATAAAACGTTAATCCTTTATTATCGTTTTCTTTCAAAAACTATAAAAAATTGCGTTTTATAGATTTTAGAACAAAATTTCAAAATGAACTTAAGTAACTAAACTGTTATAAACCTACTTTTTAGCACAACTAAGTATGTTACGCTGGAGTAAGTTAAAATAACATAAAAATAGTCATACCTGTCTTAGTTTTATAGTTTAATTCCTAAAATAAGATGTTTAAGAGCAAACGATGTTTTGCATCTCGTTATAGACAAAGACATATCGATTGCATTTTTTGCTGGTTATTCAAATTTTATTCAGAAAAATTAGTCATGACTAATGAGTTTATTCATCAATCATTATTCAAAATTTTTTATACATTTGAGTAATGAATGATGAATAATGACTAAATTTTCATATGAATAATCATTCAGAATAAATTTATTCTGAATAAATTTAGTCATGAATAAAATTTTCGTGCATGAAGCCCATCACTGATTTATAACATACTAATAAATTTGAACTTATATTTGTTTCAATTTTTGTTTACTCAGCATTCTAATCGATATTTAAGGAATAGTACTAAAACAATATTTGTAACAATTAGAGGACCAAAATATTTAAATTATGACTGTCAAAATATTTACAATTATGGATGATTCTTTGTGATATTAATTTTGTGACATTAACAGTTTTAATTTTTTAAAAAAAAGGTATTCGATCATTCAGCTGAAAGGAAAATATTGAAACGAAACAGTGAATGTTGCTTTACCCCATCCAATGCAGTAGTAGGTTTTGAAGGGAGCATCCTGCTTAAATATGTTGATGGTGACACGACTGTGCAGAAGAAGACCTTCCACAAACATCCAATTTATACTTGACATTCCCGAATACATTTGTAGCACCAGTACACTCTTGCACAGCCACTCCTGGAAAATAAAATAGTATAGATACTTTGAATACCATAAAATACTTTGTTGTCAATCACCATAGAAGCAATATTTTCATAAAATACCTTTTAGAATACCATCTATCCACTACTTTCATATGACCTCTTTTCCCAGTTTCTATATTTTAATAACCATTTCAGGAACACCCCGGATTTTTAATCTCAGTCATATGACTTCTAAACTATCTGAGATGACCGGGATACCCTGGTAGGCAGGGAGCTGATGGACACGAGTTCATGAAAACGATAGTTCGAATCCAAGCAGCCGAAGACTCCCCGTGTAGTAGTAAATGGTGACAGGCGTAAGTTAAATCTGTCGGGTCACAAAGTATACCATGTTCATATAGCAAATTATACCTCTGTGGGGTATTGAATTGGAGATGGATCGTTCTCCGATTCAGGTCAAAATTACGATCTGTGGATAAATGAAGGGATGTATGAATGGGTCTGCCCTATATACGGGAGCGATTTATGAGTGTGGCAGAAATCGAATTCTTGGCCATAGATGGCGCCACTGGAAAACAAGATCAATCACACCAATTGCCTTAATGACTAACTACAGGAAATGATATTTCCAATGAAATTCCACTTTAAAGAATTTCCACTGAATATGACCTCCTGATTTGAAGTAAAGGTTTTACCACCAAAGAAAATTTCGTCGAGATCTTAACTTTCTTGTAGAATGTTGTCTTCATGAGTGATGATCATATATGGCAACGTTACTTTTAAAAAGTAACGAGTAAAAGTACAAGTATTTTTACTAAAAGGAACGAGTAAAAAGTAAAAAGTTCTTATTTTAAAAAGTAACGAGTAAAAAGTACNACGTGCATCAGTCACCATTTACTACACGGGGAGTCTTCGGCCGGCGAGGATCGAATCCACGACCTCTTGGATATGGGCCCAGCGCCCTACCGACCAGGTTATCCCGGCCCTCATATAACAAATTATACCTCTGTGGGGTACTGAATTGGAGATGGATCGTTTTCCGATTCAGGTCAAAATTACGATCTGTGGATGAATGAATGGATCCGCCCTATATACGGATGCGATTTATGAGTGTGGCAGAAATCGAATTCTTGGCCATAGATGGCGCCACTGGAAAACAAGATCAATCACACCAATTGCCTTAATGACTAACTACAGGAGATGATATTTCCGATGAAATTCCACTTTTAAGAATTTCCACTGAATATGACCTCCTGATTTGAAGCAAAGGTTTTACCACCAAAGAAAATTTCGTCGAGATCTTAACTTTGTTGTAGAATGTTGTCTTCATGAATGATGATGCTGTTCAAAAATGAGTAATTTTTTTGGCGTTTGAGAAGCGAATATCAGACGTCAAAGAGCGAAGTCAAAATTTTCTCAGAATTCCGTCAAAATTCCCTCAGAACATGTGGAACCCATCTAGCGAGTTTTGAGATTATACTTAGGTGTTCCAATGATTATGAATAGTCCAAATTTGATAAATTTAATTTCATGAGTTGTTATTTGCCGGTTTGCCTTAATTAATTTCGTTATTATGTCTTCATCAACTTCAACAGGCTTTCCGGAGCGTAGAGCATTTTCCTCAAAATTGGCAGATCAAAATTTTTCTAACCAGTTTTGTCACCGGCGTAATCTCAAAGCACTTTTTCGATATACATCGGAGAATTTCTTTCTTGCTTGAACGGCGTTTTTACTTTTCCGATTGCAAGAAAGAAAAATACAATCGGACCTCTATATAACGAAGTCACTAAATCCCCAAAGTAAGTTCGTTATATGGAGAATTCGTTAAATGGAATATCACTTTTTGAAATACTCAAGCAACACAAAACAGGTTTTAAATTCATAAACACTAGACATAATTTAAGCAGCAATTGAAACACCTTTATCTTGTTAACTAGCATCTACAATTTATTTCATGAATCTTAACCATAAAAAAATCTGCATTGAAGGCAAGAATAGAGCAAAACATTATCCAGTCATGCTACATACATTTTCAACTAAAAAAAAAACTAAATTTACGTATAGAATTATATCTGTATTTATTATAAAAGTAATTTTTTACATACATTACCACATGCGTTCGTAAATTTAATTTCTACTGATAAAATCTGTTAATTTTGTCTGAATTTTTCGATTGGAAGGCAAGCAAAAAGAGAAAGGGATATTACTGCTCTCTCTAAAAGTTAAGTGGCTACAAAAATCAATTCAGTGTCATTTTCCCCAGAAAATGAGTAAACAATTTTGAAATGTGGGCCAAGAAGAAATGGGGATGTCAAGAAATGGGGAAAGTGGATCTCAAAGAAAAGTTCGTTAAATAGAAAATTCACTTCGCTATTTGAAAGCTATTTTACGAAATGTTCCAAAATGTTCTTGATACCTCGAAAAAAATCTCAAAATCGAGAAATTCGCAAAATGGAAGTTCGTTAAATAGAAGTCCGACTGCATGTGCCGAAAATGTTGCTTTCCGCTTTCCACACTTGAATGGACATCAACCAAAAATTATTGCATAGAATCAGTCGAACTTCTTCACAAGCAAGCCTTGCTATGTGTCAGCTGTTAAAATATATACTGATTATGAAGCTTAAGTTGGAAATTGACAGTGAAAATATACAATTAAGTCCTCAGTTGAGAATAGAAGAAATTGCTTTCCGAATGATCTAATATGCATACAGGTCTACCATGGTTCAGGAAAAAACAGCGAAATTAGCATTTGTATTGAAACAGCTGAACTGTTACTTTAATCTAACAGAGGAGACGAGAGGTAATAGCGTATCATGTCTGACACCAGCTCTGAAGGAAGTCGCTTTCAGCTAGGACGGTAACTCATTTCGTAATAGCCAAACAGTATATTTCAGTCACAAAATAAAAAAAAATTGGAAAATATTTTTTAAAAAAAAATCATTTTTCTGAAAATGCACTTTGGTACTTAAGGAAAAAAAATCGTGCACAAAAATGACGCAAATTTTTCCGAATTACCATCAAATCGTTTTAAATTGTAATAAAAGCATATTTATTAGGAATTAAAGTAAAAAAATTCATTTTTTTTTTAAAAAAATGTTGAAATGAATTTTTTTAGAACATACGATTAAAAAAAACATGTTTAGAGTTTATTTGCAAAAAATAACAAAAATACTTCATTACATAAAAATACTTTAAACTTTTAGTTTAACAAGAACAAAAAAAGTTACTGATAAACTAGCGATAAAGTGGAAAGGTGAACATCCGTTTTAAATCCGGAAACAGATGAGTCGATTAGGTGTCAGGGGTATTAAGTGTTAGCCAGACGATATACGCTATTCATTTTGCCCGTTAATTTTCCGCTCCTTATCTTTACACCCCTATTTGCTTGAGGTTTTTCAATTCGCCCTTGGCTTAGCCAGTTTTTCATATTACGCGTGGGCTATCAAAATCTATGAAAAACTAATATGAGAAACAAAATATATGAAATATTTAATGAGAAACTTTAAGAGAATAACTTTAAGAGAATATAATTTGGTATATGTTTTTCCCTTGTCAAAAAATAGTTTTGTTTGGCGTCCTTTTTTTTCGCTCGAAATGGTCGATGATATTTATGCAAGTAATGAGACGTTTTATTCTAAAAACATGTGAATGCGTCATAAAACAAGTACGAAATACTCTGGGGGTATGAAAATACTTATTTCTGTGAGATTAAGTCATTGATAAAGCAATAATTAAATGAAATGAAATATAATTACTCATGTACAAAAGAAATGCTTTCTTTGAATAAAATCGAACAAACATATTTTTATTTTTGAATTACCGTATCTCTGTAAGAAACATTCAGCAAAACAGGAGAGGATATTACAATGAGTAACACGAGATTGAGGAGTAATGCAAACGATAAATTTCGATGTACTTTTAAGCGGCTACACTTTAGGCAACTGAAATAGAAAAATATATAAAAATTCAAATAAAATAAACGATATCAATAATATTGCAGATATCAATAATAAGTATCTAAGAAGAGTTTTTACTTAAGGTTTTGAAGATTAATAAAGTTGAAAAGTTTAAAGGTTCATAAAATAGTGCAAACAATTTTTAACTATACGAGACCAGTGTTTTAAAAGTACAAATAAATACAGATTAATACAACCTTTTTGAACTTTTTAAGCTTTGGAACGGGTTTGTGTTTGATTAACAAGTTTCTCTTTTCGTATTTAGGTCATTATATTGTCGGAGCATCAAACGTACAGTTCTCTGAAACTTTAGGCATTGATTCAGGAACTTTTCATGATATTTTTAATCAACATTAATTGTGTTCTCTAATATTTGTAGTAGAAACTTTTTTTGACAATAACCATTATTATTATTTCAAAACTGTCATTTATAAAAATATAATTGCATTCTCTATTTTTTTTNTTTTTTTTTTTTTTTTTTTTTTTTTTTTTGTACAAAAATTTGAAATGTTATCTTTATCGAAACCGGCATTTATAAAAATAACGATAATTATGTCCATTATTATTTGTAACTGAAACTTTTCCTGATAATAACCATTATTATTATTTCAAAACTGGTATTTATATTAAAAAAAAAATTATTACATTTCACATTTCTTAGTTCGTCAACTTGAAATATTTTCTTTATTAAAATCAGTGTTTATAAATATAGTGATAAATGTGCTGTTTATTATTTATAACAGAAACTTTTCTTGACAATAATCATTATTACAGTTTTTATTTCAAAACTGGCATTCATAAAAAATGCATCGTATTTTCTGGGTTTTTTTGTTCAAGAACTTGAAATGTTATCATTATCAAAACTAGGCATTTTAAAAAATAATGATAATTATGCTGTTTAATATTTGTAACAGAAACGTTTTTATGACAATAATGATTATTATTATAATTTCAAAATTAGCATTTATAAAAAAGATTATTGCATTTTCTATTTCTTGGTACGAGAACTTGAATAGTTATCTTTATTGAAACCGGCATGTATAAATATAACGATAATTGTGTTCTTTATCATTTATAACAGAAACCTTTGCCATTAATAAACATAATTATTGTTTTTTACTTCAAAACAGACATTCATAAAAAATTCATTGTTTTTTCTGTTTTTTTATTTTATTTAAGAACCTGAAAGGTTATCAGTGTCAAAACTGGCATTAAAAATAATGATAATTGTGTTTTTTATTGTATGTAACAGAAACATTTTCCTGAGAATAAACATTATTTTTATTGTTATAATTATTATCATTATTATTTTTGCTATTATTTCAAAATTTATATTTATAAAAAAAATTTGATTCTCTATCAGGAACTTGTCATAATATTACATATAATTTAGTTTGCATTTAAAAAAAACATAAATAAATATCACGTAGTTAAATATTTTTCTTTCTTTTCTATTTTTCAAAATCATAAGATTTATAAATAGATCTCAAACTTACTTAAAATAGAAAAATATAAAGAGTGATACAGATAGTGCAATGATAGAGATGATGGAACATATAACAACGATGAGGGCAACAACAGTAGGGGTCCAGGGCTCCGGGTAAATCGTCTGGAATAAAGCATAATACTTTTAATGCTCAGTAATTTAATGTAGATTTATGAATGCAAAGAGTATACTCAAATATTATGTTAGTTATAAATACTAATCTCAAATGTAACCCAACAAATGGCTCAATTTCATTAAAATTAACGGATTCTTGTAATTTTTAAAAGTAAAAGATTATAAAGCATTCGTAATAAAGTAATATTTTGTTTTATAACCGTCGTTGAACAGCCGAACCAATTTTTTTGGGTTTACTACTACTAATGTTCAACACCGTAGTCTTGTCATTTTGAACCCATTCCAGAAGACAAGGAAACTCCTGGATCAAGTGTTGGGAGAAAGTTTGCCTTCGTGGAGGACTTTTTTATGGAACTAACCCGCATTAGCGTTACAGGAAGAGGAAGACCACGAGAAACTCCCACGGTTAGCCTGATGGCAAGGAGATTCTAACTCATAATCCGTCTACCACTGAGTATATTTTACGTCAGCACTGTAGTCGATGCAAGCCGGATGCGGATTCGTATCGACCAGCCATTGCAGGAATTCGAACTCGGTTCACCTTATTGGAGGGCGAATGCTCTGTCCCCTGAGCCATCACGGCTCAAATATTCGTAATATTAAAGTATTCAAACAACTTATGGTATGTTTGATGTAAGTTATGATAAAAATATGATATGAATAAACTTACACTGATAAACATAATGGCACAAACATCTGTATTTAAGTAGCAACACTTATTTTAAGGTTTTTCTTAAGATTGACTTAAGCATAAAATGAAGTTAATTTCATTAGCATTTAATGATATATAATTGGGCTTTTGCACTTCAAGAAGAAGAAGATCACTGATACCAACACGTGTATTTTATTGCAGCCGTGATAGATTTTTGTTTAGGGTACTTGGTAACTTCGATGCAAAATTAGTTTGTTCATGTACCCCATGTCTTTGTGCCTGTCTTTGTGTTAAATAAGAAATATATAATGAAAGAACTGAAATCTTTGCGAAAGAATATAGAATGTGTCTTTGAGAGGATTGTTACTTGATGAGCTTGGCTTTCTTGAAATAGAATTCAAAGAACAGTTGATAACATAAACAAATGCAATGTTTCAACTACCAATCAGGATCGATACCCACACTTCATCACTTGCAGGTATTCCATTAAACGAAAACCTAATTCTATACCTATATAAATTCCTATATATGACCTATATAAATTCCGAGCATTTTTGCTGAAGAGTTTAGATCACTTTGGAACTGAAAACTTGCGAGCGACGTCACTGGTAGGTCATCCTATCAGGTCCGACACGCACGCACAAAGTCACTTGCAGTTCTCCAATTAAGTCGATCCGAGAATTGATTCAGCATCGACTTAAGTCCAAGACTTTAAGTTGTAACGTTAACACGTCATGTATAACCACGTGATTAGATACAGCCACGTGATTAGTTACAAGTACCCAATTGGTTACATCCATTTGTCAAGGCAATTGTAGGTACCCCGTATCTGGATATTTAACCAATCTATGAAGCACGGGCAATTGTTTCCATTTTCGTGTCAACTGGTGAATAGCTTCTGGCCTTTGGGAATAACTATACAAGTTAAACAATTGTGTAAAACCATTTTATAACGGTATAGGCCCTATCAAATTGATGTTTTTGTGGTTGAAACGCTCATTATGAACTTTAACTTGATAAATGAATGTACAGATTGAGTAATTTTACCCTTTTATTGCAGAAATATATTTTCTGACGAATTTGGTAACGTCTTTATTCATAATAAGCCAAACTTATAAAAATTTATTCTGCACCTTTATGATACTTTTAAATTACAGTAAACTTAAGTTGAAAACGGTTATTAAATACACATATTAAACATTATATGAGCATTTTTTATTTGCCTAACAACTGGAAAAAAATGTAAAAACTTAACAAGCAATGAGTTTTAAATCAACAAAACAGTAAGAAAAAGGAAAGAAATAAAAGCACATTATTATTTTGTTAATTTTTTTAAGAAATAAAAAAAGATCTGTGATTTTAAACCAGGGACCATTTAAACCATGAAACCTTTATACCATGAGCCATTAAAACTTACGGAAGTTAAGCATCAGTATGGTATGATGTCTAATAGAGATTCAAATATACCTTTTATATTCATTGCATGAGCTATAGTACTTAAAGTCAATCCTCTCTGACTTCATCACGACGATTTTCTTGAAGTTTTTCCCAACTTAAATGACTATAGACCCTCTATCAACGCTTAACGGAAACTGTTAGTTAATTCAATAGATGTGAATAGTTGACACACAACGGAATATTATGTAGTGCGTTTGTCATATTTTTCATTTAGTTCTACGCTATTATATTTGTCGCATGAATGAGTAATAATTCTTCATGATTTATTGCTTTAAATTTTAGTTTTTATGCTTTATTTCAATCAAAATTATTAAATTAAGATTGCCTGAATTTATGCTGAAATATTTTCATATTGTGCATTTATGTAGAAACACAAAATTTCTAATCAACTCCAAGTAATTTATTTTACATTTTAGTTCAGAAATGCGTAAAAAAATATTTCTTTCATATTTAATTTACTCCTGTCTTTTTCTATTCCTTCATATAATAAATTCTATCACAAACAGAGAAAGGAAAATAATCTACATTAATGACGCTTTTCCGTATTTATTAATTTATTCTTACATTAGTTTAAGAAGATTAAAGGTGCGTTTCATCCACTTAAATTCAGCGTTGAAATAAATATAAGAACAAAAAAAAACTGATGAGAAACAAAAATATTTAAAATATATCGTAATTTTCGTTTCAAAATGTATTTTTTTCTTCATTAACAAGCGACATTCTTAATGAATTTAAAAGGATTTCAAACTACTAAAATAAAACAAATGACGAAACGATTATAAAGAACTTTGCAAATTCAATTGGGTATACTATAGCCTACGTCACATGTTGTGTTATTACTACTAAATTTAACCCATGAACGGCATTTTCTGCGAGCCTAACGTTTCCGAAGTGTTTGATCGTTTAAATAGCTGCTCGCCAGATTTTATTGCATTATAAAGAAAAGTAATTGATATTCGATTTTTGATTAATAATTGATTTATGTGGATAGTGGCATTTATGTGGATAGTGACATAGAATTTAGCATTGCGTCATGGTAAATGTTATTCCTACTAAGTGGAAGTAGTTGTGTTTTTTTATATTATACCCAATTAGGTATATTGTAGCAGGTCGCGTTATTTTTGTTAAATTTAACCAGTAAATGGCAACTAACCTGAAAGAAATAGAAAATCGTTTGCAGCAGTCTCATTTTTATCAATAGCGAGTTCTAAGCCAATGTCTAACTGAAATTTTTAAACGTCTTCCAAGATCTAACTGAAATTTTTAAGCGATATTTTGGATTAGGGGCTAAAATTGTTCCTTTCATCCATTCTCCAAATTTCAGGACAATAGAACAACCAGTTAAGCAGTTCTAGCAGGGTTGTCTACACAAACTCCACACTTTATTTTAATTGAGTAAAAAATAATTTAAACGAAAAGTATTTACGTTTCAAGTAAGTATTACATTGATCTAATTTTAAATAAATCATACATAGCATTGTTTCTACAAACTGTCATATTATCCAAATCATTATTCAATTCTTTTGGATTTAATGAAAATAACTGCAAGCTACATAGAAATAAAATTGACGAACAAATAATACATTCTTCTATTATACTGAAAATTCTCACAGCTCGTTAAAATGAAGTTTTTCTTTTCGTTGATCTTTCGTCGTTTTAAAGAAATAGCTCGAAGCACATTTTTATTTTATTCTTCGAACAAAGCTCTATAGTTAGCTTATACTTTTTTACTTACAGCTTATAACAAATGACAAAACAGATTTCGTTTTTTTTTTTTGTATAAAGTGTTTCAATCTTAAAACAAGTATTACAGCAAAAGTAAAGTGAAAATATTGGTTATATTCTTTATTTATATTTAATATAGCGATATATATAATTGGGGTAATTTGTTAATAATTAATTTTGCCCAATTATTCGCCATAATTGCACAGTTGTAAAACTTTTTTTTACAGAGCTTAAATCAGAACTATTTGTGAGTAAATATCCTATAATAGCTAGCCTTTAAATAATTTTTTTTTTACCTTTTTATATTTTTTACTTACTTAATCAATACTATTTGCATAAATTTCTCATAGTTGGCATATAAATAACATCTTATTTCACCTTTTCATATTTTTTACCCTCTTAATTTTAACTATATGCGTACAATCCCATAGTTAGTCTATAATTAACATTTTTCGTCATTTTTTTTTCCTTGTTCACTTAATCAAAACTATTTGTGTGAATATCTCATAGTTAGCTTATAAATAACATTTTATTTCACATTTTATATTTTTTATTCGTTTAATCAGAACTATTTGTGTGAAACTCCAATCGTTGGACCATAAATATTTTTCAGTTACTTGACCTGAACTAACTGCGTAAAAACTTCACAGTTAGCCTAAAAAATAATATTTTTTGTCACATTTTCATGGTTTTTATTCTCTTAATCCGAACTATTTTATTTTATGATTGTCGTTGAACAGCCGAGGGAATTTTCAGTTTACGACTACCAATGTTCAACTCCGTAATTTTGAACCTAATCCAGAAGACAAGGGAACTCATGGATTAAATATTGAGAGAAATTTACCTTCGTGGAGGACTTTTTGAACTTAGAACTAACCCTCATTTGTGTTACGTGGAGAGGAAAACAGCGAAAACTTCTCACTGTTAGCCTCACTGCAAGGGGACATTCACACATGATCCGTCTACCACTGAGGACATTTTAAGTCAGCTCTGTGGTCGGTGCGAACCGGATGCGGAATTCGTATCGACCTACCATTACTGGAATTTGAGCCCGGTTCACTTGATTGGAAGGCGAATGGTCTATCCCCTGAGCCATCACGACTGAATCTGAACTATTTGTATAAAAATCTCATAGTTAGCTTGTAAATAAAATTTTTAATCTTTTTTTCTTAAACTTTTTTTTTAGTATGTTGGAAAGCTGAAAGTAGTAAACATAATTTTTCTCCTTCCGAAAATGGCCCTCTTCCTTAAAAACTTTGTACAAACTTAAATAATCCCTCCGAAAATGCCACTCTTCTTTAAAAACTTTGTACAAACTTAAATAATCCCTCCGAAAATGGCACTCTTCCTTAAAAACTTTGTACAAACTTAAATGATCACCTTATTTATTTAATCTTACAAAACACTAAACTTAATTTCAATGCTGAGCACTAAATTGTAATAATTTCTGTTCAAAATTTTGAACAGTAGTATGAAGGATTTTCACTTTCAAGTGTGTCAAAAAAAGTGATAAATCGATAGGAATAGATTTCTTTCTCAAATGCTTTTCAATCATTTTGGACTGAAACTAAAACAAGTTTTCTAAATGGTTCGAACTTTTATTCTGAAGGAAATATAGATTTTTGATATTAAAATAATTTCAAATAACTATTTCAAACTCATATTCAGCGTTTCAATATCTCTTATTTATTTCCTTCAATAAGCAACGTTCATTTGCTAAAAAAAAAACAGTAAAGTCAAAGCTACCAGAATATGATAAAATTTTCCGTGTTTCTAGTGCTATAAGAACTGCAAGAAGAGCGGAAATTTTTTCCGAAGTGTTTTGGTAATGATTTTGGTAAAATTAACAATAAAAGATTGTTTTTTATAATGTGTGTTAAAATTTGGTATATGAGGTAAAATTTGGTAATTTTATCGTAACGCTTTAAAGCACGGGATAAAAATCACTTGAATTTAGATTTCAGTTTTGTTTTTTTACTAAATGCGTGGTAGCAAGAATTATAAATTTGAAAGAGAAAATTTCCGGTAAATTGTTACGATATAAACATAAACATTTCAGGTAAAAAAAATTATTATTGTAGTAAAACATAAATATATGGTACTTAAACCATTCATTGAAATGGTTTAAATAACGTATATTTATATTTTATTCCCATAATTAAATGTGTTTTTTGACTGAAATATCTTTACCGTGCAGTACGGTAGTTCCAGCTGAATTTTTTTCTCCGGGTATTAATATATTTATTATTAAAACTCGCCCATTAAAAATTATTTTGATAATCAAAGTCAAATGCTATGTGAACATCAATAAAATAAGTTTGACGAAATTGGGGTAATGGAGAAAGGTACCGAAGCTGCGTCGAAGAAAAATTTGCAGGAGTCAGAAAAATTCAATAAACTCTGCTTAGTTGATTGTAGGTTAAAAGAAAAAAAAAAGTTTCTGATCTTACGAAACTCATTTCGATAAATATTTATAATTATGAAAAGTCACAAAACTCAGACACAAAAACGTACTTTCTTTGAATTAACGTGCCCTTTTTACAACGGATTTGGATTTATGAACCTCAAAATGTTGGGGGTAGCCGTAATTTCTATGAGTTAAGTCAAGAGAGCGGTTGAAAGATTGGAATCCCTTAATGTTTATTTTACTTTTTGCGTATTTCACCATATCTTAGCAAATTTGAAAGCGAATTGAAAAATTTTTGCACACTATTATATAGGGGAGAGTCGGGTAGCCCCGCTCACTTAAGGAGTATTGCTTGTATTTCTGTATAATACTGAGTAATAATAAACATTTTTGTATGTTTCTATTGTTTAATCATCTAATTAAATAATGCAAGAAGAATAAACCAAAAAAAGAATAGTTAAACTTAAAAAAATAGAAATTAAAAAAAACATGTTTTTCAGCTCTTTTCAAAATGTGTCGGGTAGCCCCGCCCAGTTACAAAAATTGTGTTTTTTGGCTATTTTTTCAGGTGTAAATGAGAATGACCAATGTATTGACAATAGATAAACCTCATTTATCATTTTTATCACAAAATTATTTTATTTATTACATATTTATATACTTTTAGTGAATTCTATCATTTAATAACAACNATTGTTTCATCTTTGCTGCCGAAAAGTTGATTCTTCTGACCTCTTTATTTGAAGTAACTGTTTTACAGCCTAAAATATTTTACAGAAACCGCAACACTGTTGTCGATAATTACTTTTCCATCCCCAGCGCTGATGCATTTTAAAAATGAATCATTTTCCTGATGTTTGAGAGGCAAATCCCAGATACCCAAGTCAAAATTCTTGATATTCCTCTCAAACCATTTTGATGGTTTACGTTAGTTTCAGTGCGATTCATGATGGTTCAAAATCATTTGATGGTCGCCATCATCCAACATTTTCCATTACGTGTTGATGGTTTTTGATATGCCAGCAAACTTCCATCATTCCATGATGGAAAATGCAACTTTAATACTATCGTTAGCCACCACGAGAAGTTTGACTTTCATGAACCAACAATCCATGATAATCCGTGATGGTTCATGATTGTTCCAACTATACATTTCCATGATGGTTTAAGGGGAAATTTCGTTGGTTCTCAGGAATAAACCATCAGAACAATTTGGGTTTTTTTATGTTGGACCATCATATATTAGCATATATGGCAACGTTACTTTTAAAAAGTAACGAGTAAAAGTACAAGTATTTTTTAAAAAAAGTAACGAGTAAAAAGTAAAAAGTTCTTATTTTAAAAAGTAACGAGTAAAAAGTACAAGTAAAAGTACAAGTATTCAAAAAAAAGTAACAATTTAAAAGTACATTTCTAGGAAATCGAAAATTCAAAGTAACCTGAAATTTTATTGAATAATATTCTTATGTTCTTTAATGGTTTTGCAAAATTGTTGTTATTTAATTAATTATTTTTAATTTTGACAGTTATGGACATTAATTTATTTTTAAATTCGGAAGAATATCATAATATAATTTTATAATATAATAGGATAATATAATTTTAAAAATCAAATATAATTTTAATATCAAACTTTTTATGGATTTGCACGAAAAAGAAATTTTACCTATTGATTTGAATTTTTAGAAGTAGTTTAAATAGTTCTGAAGTTCTTAAAGATTTGACAAGGTCGGGCATAAACATAATTTTAGTAAAAAATGTGCTAGGTAAAAATGTATTTAGTAAAAAATGTATTAAGACAAAAATATATTATTAGTGAGTTAAAAAAGAAAATTGAAAAACGTAATAACAAAATCGAGCATTTTTTATTTAAAATGTATTAAACAAATGCATAAAACTCGAAAACGAAGGAAAATAACTTGTTATTAATATTTTTATATATTTTGCAAAATAATTGCATTTCGAAAGCATTTTTTTTTTAGAAAGCTTACCGAGCCTTAGAAAAAAGTAACGATTTCATTTGACATTTCCGCTACAAATACTTGTACTTTTTCCCCAAAAAAGTAACGAAAGTACAAGTGAAAGTACTAAATTTAAAAAGTAACGAAGTACAAGTAAAAGTACGTATTTTTTACTTGTACCGGCGGTACAAGTAACGAAAGTAAAAGTACTGCCATATATGTATATCAGTTTAAATTCCTACATTGGGATGGTGGTTGTTCATGATCGTTCCAAAATTTGATTTCTAAAATAATACGATGGAAATTCGAGATGGTTCATAACATAAACAAACCATTAACGCAAGTTGATATTCTTATGTTGGACCATCATAAATCAGTCCAAATTCCTACATTGGGATAATGGTTACTTATGTTGTTTACTATCGAAACATGATACGTTTCATGATGGAATTATTGATTATTACCATCAAGATTATGTTGGTCCATCAAAGGAAAAATATCAAAAATTTTGACTTGGGTATCAACGTTACGGCACAAGTTTCTTACCCTAAGAACACGAAGAATTCATATGTCGAGTTTAAAGATTAAACCTTAAGCTTTTCACATGAGCATGAACCGTCGAATTTAACTCTCGAGCCATTCATTGGCTTAAATTGGCGTGATGCATCCTCGTGCATCTAAACAAGGTTCTTCGAAGCTCTTTCGCCAAGCGAAACCAAAAATTCACAGTTTTAATGCCTTACGCTTGAATCAATGCTACAATTTAAAACTGTATGTGCTATCTTGCTGTAAGGAATTATATGGGCTTTAGAACAGGGAAATAACTAAAATATTTTACAAACTATTAAACTCTTTAAAAATCACCAATTTGGCGACATTTTTTTCATCTAGATGAAAACTGTCCAAATCAATGCCTTATTCCCATTTTTTGCAATAAAAAAAACGTCATTTAGTTAATAAATTTTATGCTTATTTTAATTTTTCGTAAGCACATTTTGTTAATATCTTAATCGTAACAAAATGAAGGATTAATTAAATTTGAAAAATAATCAACTGCTGAGTAATAATCAAAAGTGAAAAAAATAATAAAAAAATTAAACTTAGAAATATTAAATTGGTGATAAAATATGACGTGTTAAGTAAAAAGCAACAATTTTACTTGTCAACACTGCATAACGATAACATGATATTGCATAACAGTTCAGAATGGATACGGTTATATCTTTTGAGCCTTTTATATTACAAAAAGTTCCATACTAATTTTAAGATTTATATCTGGCAAAATATAATTTCTCACTCTCTTACAGTTTATAATATTTGTTCATTTTCTTTACTTTTGACATCAAGTCAAGCGCGAACTAATAAAGTAAAGATCTCGAGAGAGATAAATTTTTCTACCACAATGATTAAACATTTTTAGTGTAAAGTAAAGAATAAAAAGCGAAAAAAAAATATTCGTGAAAAAATGCACTTAACTTCAATAACTTTTGCACAAATTGGAAATTCGAAAAAAAAAAAATTAGCGTTATGTTTATAAAAGAAAAAAATTGAGAAGCCTTACATCTTTTTGGGAAAGAATTATTCGAATGGAATGAATCCTTGAAAAGATGCGACGAGAAATATGACACATTAAAATAACATTAGAGTAACAAATTTTAGAATCGTTATAGAGGTTGATCTGCATAATCTAGCTTTTCAAATCTTTGACAACTCCCCTTATTTTGGGTG